TACATCAATTCCTAGATCCTCCAAAGTTCTCAATGGAGTCATTTCTTACTCTGCATTGTCATTTTTTGCCACAACTGTGGATGACCAAGTTCGATGTTACTGGTGCCTATCTGCATGTTCCCATAGTGTAGTTGTTCCACCACTAACTGTGTTTTGTGCACAAGGGTCAGCTCTTTCCTTCGGACTAGCATCGGCACCATATGTGTTCTGCTGAATCGTACAAACTTTTTCTTGTCACCTTCATTCCCTGGGCCTGTGCACACACCATTACATGGATGACTGGTCATTTGGTGGAACATCATACCCAGATACTGCTTTCCAAAGCAACCAAGGCGGTATTTCTTATCAGAGCCAAGAAATCTGTTGTCACTCCAACACAATATGTCGTCCATCTGGGTGTTTTCTTCAACATGTATCTCAGTTGGGCTCAGGGTTTTACTTCTTGAGTTGCCATGTGCCTGTCTCAATCTCATTCCACAATGGACATTTACTAATGGAAATAACAGACATACTGACAATGGTGTATTTCAAGGAGGTTGAACCCACTCTAGCCAGATGTGTCAACAATAACTCTGTTTTTGACCTGGCTCTTATACAGGGGTTTTGAATCTTCCACAATCACCCTATATAAGGAGGCCTTATCAACTACCTTTAGATACTTGAAGAGACAGAAATACTTTGAGTCCCCAGTGCTCTCTGGCCACATCAAGTTGTTTCGGGTCTTTGGTCCCAAAGAACTGTTTTGGTTACTTAACTGGGATATGAAGGTGGTGTTATACACTCTTTCTTAACATCCGTTTGAGCCCTTAGTCTCATGTACCATGTGTCACCTTTCGTTAAGTTTTTTATCGTTGTTGCTGCTGGCCTGTGTACATCGCTGGTCTGAGTTGTTTGTGCTGCACATGCAAAGGACTCTATCATTCTACCTACATCCTTCTATACCCAGACAGGTCCTTCTTACTTAAGGTGCTGGGAGCCAGGGAAGGCAATAAGTCCTTTACACCAATTCATCTGATTGCTTTTTCTCCCCTCTAGGATCGATTGGATTCCAGTTGTTTTTTATGTCCAGTGGGGGCTTTGAAGTGTTACATTGCTTGCACTAAAGTTTTTAGAGGTGCTAAACAATAGCTTTTTATTCATTGTGACCCTTCAGTTTCCTGGGGTTTATCCCTGGTTACTTTGATTTGGTGGTTTATGAAAATTGATCCATACTGCTTATTCAAGCCTCTCTTTGGAGGCAAGGAAACTTCTGTGAGTCACATCTCATCAAATTCATCACATTTCTATGTCCTTAGCGGTCTGGTTGAATTGCCCACTGGAGGACATTGTGTGGGCTAGTATGTGGACCTTCCCCAGTCTTTTCTCTCACATTATTTGCATGATCTGGCAATATCTTCCTATGAGGGTTCTTGACTACCCCTGTAACTATATTAACCACATATGCTAGATTATAAAGAGGGGTGAGTATTTTCATTACTAATTTTGTTTCTTCTCTCATTTCTAGGGTTCCTTTCCTCTTTTTCACAGGATCCCACTCTGTAGTGAGTGTTGCCCAGTCAGATGTGCTTTTATCAAACCAAATCTGCACTAGCAACCACTAACACAATATACTTTATCTAGGTTGCAACAAGGCTCTGTAGAAATGTGGTGTTCTATAGGATCACCTAGAGGTAGACCTGGTGGTATTACTGTACCATGCTGGACTATCATGAGTAAAGCATAAGGGGATCCTGCATGTCCCTGCTGATCAGTGGATTGCATAAATTGGGGTTGATTTGCTTTTTAAAAATTAGGGAACTTGATTTACTCATTGCACTGTTTCCAGAGCACTGTTCTTCAGGACTCCCCAATGTGCATTATCCCCCCCCCCCCCTTCATATTCTAATAGTGGATCTAGGGATTCCTTACCATACCTGGTTTCCAGTCACTGTGGTGGTGGACAGAGGTTATTCCTCCAGATGTTTGAGTGATTTTCCTCCTGTTTCCTAAGTTGGGGGCTTACAGGTTTGTAGGAGCTGCACCAGCCTGTGTGGGAGCCTACTTATAATACTGGATCAGCTATTCGGTTGGGTCGATTGTGGCCCTTCTTTTTTTTGATCAATATTGAAACAGTACATTTTTCATGAAAGAGGGTCCATTGTCTCCTCCTGGGTCCTTGGTTGAGTACAGTTTGTTCCACACCCTCCATAATTTTGGCAAATGGAATTTACCTTGCCCATGTGGTTGTGGAGTGAGGATGAGTGTTAATAATTCCAGACTGGATGAGTTCTGTTTCCTCAGGTTGAGTATGGCATACAGGATCCCATCATTCCAAGTTTGGGGTGTTGCCTTTTGGACTTCTTCAGGTTGAGAGAGGGTTTGTCCACTAGTGCTTACCTTCTCGTCATGATTCTGGTGGCTTGGGATGCATCACTCTATAGCTACAGGTTGGGATCCACATACAAATATATATGTATTGCAGTCCAAATGCCCTAGGCACTAATGTGGGATTTAAGGACCACCCTATAATTCCAACCCCGACAGTAGGATCTCGGCTACTTGGTTGGGGGACTGGCCAATGGTGATGATGAATCACATCAAATTCCATCTGCAGTGCATGATTTAGGTTCTGGGTGAAGAACATACCTCTTGTGGATGTAGTGCAGTTCCCCAACTAAGGTGCTAATCTTTGTTTCTTTGGTATGCCCATGATCTATGCAGATGCATTCTGTATGGATAATGCTCTCACCAGCCCCTCCACCTTATAAATGTGAGATTCTAGCTGTAGTGTGAGAGGAGGTATGTATGTTTTGGAAGTTAGCATTTTCTTAAACCAAAAATGTATTTCCAATAATACTTAACTCCTCTCAAACTCTTCCACCCTTCCTCCTCACTAAGAGCTGGTCTTAGAGACTATGAATTGGGTCAGTCTCGAAAACGTGACAATATTATCTGAAGGATGTGCTCATATACAGTACCAGGATAAAGGGCACATTGATTTAGGCAGAGAGTGTCACAAGACAGATATTTCAAGGGCAATTAAGTGGGGGAGCAAGCAAGAAAAAATCAGACCAATGCTCAGATGGGCAAAGGAAAAGAAACCTTAACAATCGAGTGCTAGCTGTAGTGTGAATAGAGGTAAGTATTATTGGAAATACATTTACAATTTAGAAAATGCTAACTTGGTTTTCTGTGCCCACAAATCAAAATTAGACTTTAATACAGTAACATACGTTTTTTGCATATGGTAAATTCCCATATTGTTTTAAATGTGATTTTATAGTTCTTTATGACTAGCTATCTCCAAATGAATGTACATGGATTTTTCTAGACCCACAATCTTTTTTATAATAAAATACTAGTAGTCATAAATCCTCCATAAATATATTGGAATTCTTAAACATTCTGATTTGCATTCTGCAGCTGCATTGTATCTTCCTTTTTAATAGTTATAATATGCATACAGCCACATAATGTATCAACTCCTAGAATAGCTTGTAGCAAGTTATTGTATGCCTTTAGCCACTTAGTGTATCGACTCCTAGGATAGATTGTAGCTAGTTATAGTATGTATATAACCACTTAGTGTATCAACTCATAGAATAGCTTGTAGCTAGTTATGCATATAGCCACTTAGTTTATCAACTAATAGAATAGCTTGTAGCTAGTTATGCATATAACCACTTAGTTTATAACTATATAATGCTGTATTGAATGCATAAAGAAAATTTCAACTGTGTTAACTATTTCATTTCCCTCTGCACTGCCTTTCATATGACTGCAAAACTTGGCTCCAAGTCTAAAACTATTGTAGGAAGTATGTCTGAGGCTTGTGTCTGATAGTCAAATTTATAATAACTGCTCCTGAGTAAGTTACAGTGTAGCATGAATACATTATTTTGTCAAAATGGAAGGATATGTTGAAACAATATCTGTGTTAAAGAGAATGGGACTAGTTTCATGTTTCTGTATTTAACTTTTATATGCATGGGTTGGGTCAAAGTGTGCATGTCATGAACTTTTAAAGAGTTACATTCAAAATTTAATTAAATAACTTGATCATTAATTTTTATCAATACGATTGGCATAAAAATAGAAATTTAAGTCAAAGTTTAATATTATATAACTTTTCATTTCTTAATTTTTAAAAGAAATATTTAAATAAATTCTCAACCTAACCTAACATAATCTTCACTTTTTTAAATCACATGACACCTTTTTACTCTGAATTGCCCATTTTAGATTTTTTTTCTACTTCTATATTATGTCTTGAGTTTAGCCTAAATGACACAGAGTATAGATATTGCTGAGACATAATGTGAATTTATAGCCATCAATATCCTCACTTTATTGAGATATTAGCTAGAATGTTGAACCAAACCTGTGAGGCCCTCCTATCACTTTCAGTCTTTCAAAAAATATTAATAGTTCTGTCTTACATTTACTGTTGGATTATTTATCACCAATAGTAAGAGAAGATTTCAATTTATTGATTACTGTATATAACGAGCTCTTTGAATTATTTGGCCTACAGGTTCATTGGAATATGAAAATCACTTTACACTCAAACTAGTCAGAGTCTGAGTCGAACTGACTTTGTTAATTCCCAGACAAACCTTTATTAAGAGTAATTTATTAAAAAATCTGACTGTTTGTATACAACATGTTTACTAAAATCTTATGAACATTTAGGAAAGTACACAAAATAAATTTGAACAAATAGTAGTGGACCCCATGAACATAGTGTTAATGTGTAGATTTACTTGCTCTACAAAACAAGTTGTCTATAAAGCTGATGTCAAGCCTTGATATGGCGTATTTGTTTGGGGATATAAATGTGTGTGCCTAGGGCAGCCCAAGCACTGTTCTTTTTCACTCAGTATTATTTTCATTAGTTTTGATTTTATTTAATATTCCAAAATGTTTTATCTCTTGACTTTTTCTCTTAAATTAGTGAAAAGTGTGAATGTTAGACCTTTGGAAAAAATAGAAAGATATTCCTTTGCTGAAATTTACATTTCTTTCTATTTTCATTTTAGCTTTTTTTCTCTGTCTCTGCAGTGGACATTTTAAAGTTTTTTATTTATAATGTCTTCTAACATGATAGTCTGCTGAAGTGAAAGTTTTAACAAAGTGTGATTCTGATTTCAATTACTGTTTGAACTTGACTTAAATAGATTGGGTTATTTATTATATTCTAGCACTTAAGAGCTTTTGTTATTTCTTAAATTTACTTGTGTATAAAACATAAGGATTGTTTTACTACCAAATAAATTAATTTTTACTTCACATCAGAGCACGTTATGTACTTAAGAGTAAATAAAAATCAAATGGTAGTCATTAAAGCTAATTAAATATGTTTTTCTTATGTTCCTGCTTATAAAGATTAGAATGCATTGTTTCATTAGTTGGGTGTCCTCACTATTAACAGTAGTTTTGACCATAATTCTAATAATACCTCGCAGGGTTTGGCCAGCTTAGGAGATTTAGGTTAGTCCAAAATAAGTATGCTAAGCTAACAATGTAAAACATTTGCTATGATAAAAATATAATAAAAAGTAATAACTTTCATTATATTATACAATCTAACAATTCTGTTTACAAAGACTTTACTTAATATCACTAAATATTTTGTTTTCCTATTTCTTCTTCTCTAGACACTTAACTTACAGATAAACTACTTGTACGTGATGGTGCAAAGGAATGAGTTAAGCTTAATAGTTACATTTACTTGAGGTTGATTTGAATTGGCCAAACAAAAATATATTAATATAGTTGTAAAAAAGGCTTCTTCATCAATATTTTGATACCAAGGTACTTTATGAGAATTATTAAAGTATAGGAATTGTTTGAGAAGGTAGTCTATAAATGTAGGATACATAACAATATGAACTTACTAAATGTTTACTTTAGCTAATGCTCCAGTTATTGTTCAGAAGTAACAAGAAAATTATGAATTAATTTTTTATTTAAATTTTGAGGAGTTTATTCTGTTTGATTATGATCTCTGGTACAGGAAGACGCAGTAGATAAAACAGCAGTTTTTCCACCACACCATGAAGATGCTTACAAGTGGTTCTACAGAGATCCACAGGGAAGAATTCAAGGTATGTGTTTCTCCAATATTGATATTGTTCTAATAAGAAAGTGTATCTCATTAAAGAATGATATAATGCAAATGGCACCCACAAACAAGGTAAGCCTTTTTTTTCATTAAATGAAGTTGTCTGAGGAATCAGGTTATCCATGCAAAACCCTTTAATTTAGTTGGATTTTGTCTAACTTATCCATTAATTAAGTAGAAGGCTAGTCATATAAAGTAACCAGTGCATCACATTAAAATTAAACAATATGCAACAGATATAGTAGTCCTTCTATATTAAACATCTTGTCATTGTAATCCCAAATTTCAAATGTTATGTGTAATCCTTTCACAAGAAAAATATATCACTTGTTTATCATAAAAGTTTTTGAAAAATTATCTGCATTAAATATTGCTCAGCTGATGCTCTGTTTTATTGCATTGTGTAATATGCTATGATTAGCAAATATATTCTGTTGAGTATTATTATATAAAACATAAAACAATCTAACAGTTCAAAAAAAAAAGTGAGGCCAATATCTCTTATATATCATAAACTGTGATTAGCAAACATATTCTGCTGAGTATTATTATATAACACATGAATCAACTGAACAATTTACAAAAGTGAAGCCAATATCTGTTATGCATGATAAAATCTGGTTAGGAAACATATACTCTTGAGTAAACCAGATTTTATCATGCATAACAGATATTGGTCTCGTCTTTGTGAGTCGTTCAGTCGTTTTATTTTTTATAAAATAATGCAAACATATTCTGTTGAGTATTATTATATAAAACATAAAACAACTAAAAAGATTCAAAAAAGTGATGGCAACATCTTTTATACATCATAAAATATGATTAACAAAGATATTCTGTTGAGTATTATTATATAAAACATAAAACAACTAAACGATTCACAAAGGTGATGCCAATATCTGTTATGCTGTTTTTATTTTAGTGGTAATGATTTTGCCATTTTTTTTGTGTGTGTGTGTATGTAAATAAAAAAGCTTTCAGGAAGGGTTAAAGTTATTGAGTTTCGCTAGATAAAGGTGCCAGTGTTTAAATTATGCAAGTTGATTTGTGTTCAACCTACTAAAATTATTTACAGTGTATAGATCATGTTTTCATTATTATTAAGGCCCTTCAGTTTACTTTTTTTGAGCTAGCTTGTTTGTAATGTTTTGTTTTTGTATTATTACAGGTCCTTTCACCTCTCCAGAAATGCTAGAATGGTTCAGAATGGGCTACTTCAGTATGGCTTTGATGGTGAGACGAGGATGTGATGAAAGGTTTGCTCAGCTAGGTGAGTTATGACGCAGAAGCAGTTAGTAAGTTTGGCAGTAAGCTTTTTAAAATACTTTGTTACAGTTTCTTTGTTAGCCAATTTTTCTGGTGTTTTCATGTGAAGGAAGAATAATAATAATAATAGAAATGAACTGTAGTTGTCCTTAAAAACGAGAAGAGTGGACTTTAACACTAGAAAAATTACTTTATTAGAATTTTGTAAAATAACAGTGATCAACCAAAACTAGAAATTATAGCTAAAGTAACACGAAATAATTTAAATTAAGATTGATGTGAATGACCAAAAAAAAAGGTATTGCATTTATTATTTTTTCCTTAACTATTTTATTAATTTTACTTGCAGTGGTTTAGAATTCAGTAAAGAATGCAATTAAACTTAATATAGGTTGATTAGCAATTATAAATTTGGGTTAGAGTTACTGCTTTTTGTTTTAATAATTGCACATTGGATTGATCAAACAGATATTTATTCCATTGAAAAATACATCTTTTTTCATTTAATACATTATGTATCTGTATAAGTGTGTGTAAAGATCTCACAACAAATATTTATAAGGATGAGAAATGGATACTGTACATATTTCAATTTTAGATAGTAAAGGTTTAAAACCATATACAAATAGGAAATGGGAATGGGAACATACATGATTTGACTTTATCAAAACATAGGTTACATTTGTTTGTATGGAACTAAATTTGAACATCATTGTCATTAATTCTGTTGATTTTAGTGAAATAATGTATAGTTTCTTGTATTTTAATTTGAAGTGCATTAAGACATTATTGTATAGAATAAAATACTTTTGATTTGTTAGGCATTTAAGTTGCTAAGTTATTAATAATTATTTAAGACTTAAAAACTGGCTTAAACAGTTATAGTTTGTGTGAATGCTCCTGAAGAAGCTGTAAAGCAAATTGCTGAGCATCTAATTAAATAAAAACAACAATTTGGCATTATAAGGTCATTTATTTCTAGTATTAAAACATTTTCTGCACACCAGTGAACACTACAGAAATTAAATCATGTATTATGTTTATAAACTCTGTATCGTTCAAGTGGATGTAGTGCATTCATAAATTTGTTACTTGCAAGTAACTTCATTCATTGCATTTTGAAGTACATGCATGCCATAAAATAATTATTACATGTAGATGATACTCAGTCTGGTCATGTGAAACAATATCATTTATCATCTAGGTGAACTTATCAAGAGTTGGAATAGAATTCCATTTAGTTCCGGTCCTAATCCACCTCCTCTCAGGGTAAGGAATTAGTCATAGAAGTTTGGAGACGGCTTGAATAGGTAATGAAAAAAATCTTTATTGTGATAAAGCCATTCAAGCCATCTCCAAACTTTTATTTTCTAAAAAGAGAGTTCCTTTAAGAACTTAGTTATGTTTTTATTTAGTTTGAACATATTGCGAGTTAATACAGTAGGGAGACTTATAAGGCAACATAAATTCTAAGAAGTTTGTTTTGGGTATGAAAAAATGTAATAACAATATGGTGTGTTAGGAAAATATCCTGAAAATTGAAATTGTCACACTAGTTTTAGCAAAGGAAAATAGCAGAAATATAAGTTTTTTATCAATGAACTAGTGATGAAAAGTGCATTACTCAGCTTAGTATTTCATAGGTTTAAAACTATTAAAGAATGTCCATTGTTGGGTATTTTTTTTACTATGAGATATGCATCTATTGGCTCAAGATTTTTATGGGGTAAAAGCTGTGTTAGAGAAAATGCATTGTTGACTACTTTTTGTTAGGAGACATGCATCAATTAGCCCATGTGTTTATGGGATAAAATGTATTAAAGAACATAGATTGTTGGGTACTGTGTTGTTATGAAACATGCATCAAAGTGTGTAGTAAAGTAAAGAGCATTGTTGTTTTGACATATGCATCAGCCAGTTCAGGATTTTAATGGGGGATACAAAGTGTATTAATTGTCTTCACAATTCATTATATAACCTAACTTGATATAAAGACTTGTTTAATCAACATGATAGCAGTGTTAAGTATTTTAAAATAGATACTACTTTATATTTTTCAGTCTATTTTTCAAAGAGACTGTTAGTCAGTACTTAATAATAATGGTGAAGTACAAGATAATTCTTCCTATGGCATAAAAATCTGCATCTTAACTTTACAGGCTGGCCCACCCCTACCCACACCCTTAACCATTCCGATGACAACCCCTTTGCCTCAGGGTGGAGTCCACCCTCTCATAACTCAACCTACAGACCAAGAACAAAAGTTGAGGCTGTTGCAGAGTCAAATTCTTCAACATCAGCTTCAACAGAGTGTGCTACAAAGGTAAAATACTTTGGTATTTTATCATTTTATAGAGCCTACTTTTAGTTTCTGCATTAATGGCTTTTAAAATTTGTTATTATAAACTTTATACAGGTATCCCTTAATTTATGAATGTCC